GAATTGTACAATGAAAGAATTTTTCTTTTCAAAGAGAAAAGTGAACTAGGGTGGGGGCTGGGCAGGGAGGAAAATGTGCAACAACGAATGAATGGAAATTCAAGTTCTCTATAAACTTTCAATAAAATCTCAATTTAAAAAAAAGAGAGAGAAAAAAACCTAAAACACTGTGCCCACAGTCAAGTCAGTTCTGACTCCCAGCAACACTGGAGACAGAGGAGAACTGCCTCACAGGTTCCCAAGACCGTACATCTTCACACAAACAGACCAGCACGTTTCTCTTCAGGGGTGGCTAGTGAATTCTAACTGCCAATCTTCCAGTTCACAGCTGAAGGCTCGGTCCACTACACGCGCCTCAGTCTATCTCAATACACAGAACAATGATTACGGAACCACAACACCCAGATTCTGTCTGTCTCTTCATTGCATCCTAACTGGACAACATTAAATGGCTTATTATTCTCTCTGAGCCTCAGTTTTCTCGTCTGTAAAATGGAATAAGGTCACCCTCAACCACCTCAAAAGATTAATGAGGGATATGTTAGCATAACATATGTGAAAGCATTCTGTAAATGAAGCAGTATCACCCAACTAAGGTTTAGAGTATCACTGCTGTTGCTCCTGTTAAATTGGTTCTGACGCCTGGGAACCTCACGAGTGCAGAGTAGAACCGCTCCATAGAAGGCTCAAGGCTTGGGACCTCTTAGAAGAAAATCACCAGGCTTGTCTTCTAAGAGCCTCTGGGTGGGTTTGAACCACCAGTTTTGATTCACGGTCCAGTGTGTAACCAGGTGCACCAACCAATAAGCAAGTTTAGCAGGCACATGGCAAATGCTCCACCCTTCCTGCCGGACAGGCTGCTCACGCTGGGGTCAAACTCAGAGACAAATCAGCAGCTGCAGTCAAGGGACACTGCTGCAGGACATGACGACGAGATGTGCTGGAAAGTGGAGGTGCCAGGGAAGAATGTCTCAAAAACGCACTGAGCTGGCCCTCCAGGCGTGGACCCACTGCCCTGCTTAGTAATGCCTTCCCGGCAGCCCTCATGCAGGCCAGAGGGCAGCTTCTGAGCTTCAACAAGCCTCAGTCCTGGGCCAGCCATGGGGAGGCAGCGTGGACCATCAGCCTGACCTGGTCCTGCTAGGGTCAACCAGCATCTGGTTTGTCCAGTGAGCAGCAGGCAGCTTTGCCCAAGTGCTCACTGCTGTCCCTCTGCCCCTATTTCCCTGTCTGCGCCCCACTTCTCCATGAGAACTAGGCTGGACTCGGTATTCCGGCCTAACTGTCTGGGGTCCCGACACCCTGCCCTGCTCTTCTCCAGTAGCAGGATCTGTGCCTCTAGGTTCACACTTCCTGAGACTCCTCTGCCAATGTCTCCATCATCAGAATGATGTCCCAGCTGTGCCCTCTGGGGTCTTCTCACCGGCTGCTGGTGGATTCGAAACTCCACAGAGGTATGGCCTTTGAGTTAGTAGGGCAACTTTCTGTGGACTAGGCCCAGGGCATCAGGCAAAGGGCAGAGGCATTTCAGTGATGGGGGGAAGGGGACAGTCTCCCATCATCCTGCCCACACCCTCCAGGATCCTTGAAAGGTGACCCAGAGAAGCTGCTTATGGGTCAGGGACCCCTAGGCCCAGAGCTGAGGGGAGGCAAAAGAAAGCAGCCCTGTCGGGCCACCTGCACCCACCGGAATCCGTTCTGCACGGCCCTGGGGTTGACCAGCACGCAGTCCCATGTGCGGCTGGCAGCATTCTGGAACAGAACCAGCTGCCCATCCTCTCGAATCCGGCTGTGCGTGCTGTACTCCGCCACGGACACCTCCTTCACCCGGAACGGGTTCGAGAACAGGTTGGTGACGCTGCTCAGGGTGTTGACCAGGCGGCCGAAGAACTGCATCTTCTGTGGGGCAGGTGGGGGGTCCCCACCCCACCGCCGACTCCTTCTGTCTGAAAGAGAACGAGGTTACTGGTCAGCGGGCACAATCGCCCATGCCCATCTCACCATGTGCAGTGGGGTCCTACATGGACCCCAAATCGGTCTCAACTTGCTCTGGTCCCCAATTCCGATCTGTGTAGACCTGAAAAAGAGGAGGATGAGAGGAGGGCACTGAGTGGGGGCCAGGAGGCCGAGGGGGAGCCTTAGGGCTGGCGTCACCTGGCAGGCCCCTCCTAACATTGTGCCAAGGAGCCCCCACGGCTGTCCTGTTCCTTGTTTCCGCAAGAGAGTTCAGTTTTCACATCTGTCATGTGGGCAACAAGGATCCCTGGTGGTGCGGTGAGTTAGCACTCCATGCTTTACAGGTCTGTATTCCTTTTACTGTGGGCAGTGCCCACTGCTCCCTGCTCCATGGAGCTGCTGTATGGACAGAACGATGACAGACGACAGGAGCTCGAATGGTAGGCAGGGGAGGGGCCCTCAGAGCTCAGCACAGGGCACTTCAATTCCACGGTCAGTGTGCCGTCTCTGCTGAGTACCAGGACAGTGGGGGTCATGTCACTGTCTCTTGGAGACAGGATGGTAAGCGTCAAGTGCCTTCAGTACCAAGTTCTAGGGGCCCTCGGGGTGCCTTTGCTGAGGACGGAGCACCGTCTGTGCATGCTCGGAAGTCACAGAGCCACCCTGTCTGCCGCAGACAGACACTGCCCAGTCTGGACGGGGGTTAGTTGTCCTGGTGCTTCCTGGGCTTTCGGGAAGAACACAAGCTGTGAAATGCATTAATGCTGCGGAGAAACCGGAACTCTTATCCACTGCTGGTGGGAGTGTAAAATGGTGACACCACTATGGAAAGCTGTATGGCAGTTTCTCAAAAAGTTGCAAATAGAAATACCATTTGACTCAGCAATTCTACTACTGGGAATATACTCTAAAGAAACCATAACTGCCACACAAGCAGATATATGCACACCCACGTTTATTACGGCTTTGTTCACAATAGTAAAAGTTGGAAACAACCTAAGTGCCCATCAACAAATGAATGCACACTGCACTGAAAAACAAGGAACACATCCAATATTATTCAAAATGGGTGACCCTGGAGGACATTATGCTGAGTGAAATATCTCAATCACAAAAGGACAGGTGCTGCATGGTGCCACTGTTGTAGAACGGGACTGACATCAGGGTTGGGGTGAGACTGAGAAAAACTGGATAAATTATGTATACTGCGTTGAAACAGATTTCAAACTATTTGAAAGCGATATATGATTGGGTATTATGGTTATGACAGGAGTCCAGGATAAAGATTACATAGTGGAGTGCACTTGGAGCGGGAAGGGGGGGACTGTATACCAGTGAAATAATTTTTCTTTTACTTTTCAAAGAGAAGTGCAAACTGGGGGGAGGGGTGGGCAGGGAGAAAAATGCAACAATGAATGTATAGAAATACAAAATCTCTGTAAACATTCATTAAAATGAATTTTTAAAAATAAAAAGAAAGAAAGAAAAGCATTGTCCCCACCCCCCACGTCAGGAAGACCCGCTGGAGGCCCCACTCTGCCTCCGTGCCAGGACAGTCACTGCCAAAGTGCACGTCAGATGCCAGGCAGCATGCCTGAGTGTGGACGCCTTGCGAGGACGGGCCCATCTGTGTGGACAGGAGTGGACACGCTCACTCTGGCACTGCCTGTGCGCGGAGGACAGGAGAGGTGTTCTCGGCCATGCGTAGGGGGGAGAGGAGAGCAGAAGGCCTACAAAAAAGAACTAAAAAGAAACCCCAAAACCTCCCCGACATCAAGTGCATTCCATCCTCCTCAACCAGCTGGACTGACACAGTGACCGCAGCAATGGGCTTGAGAGTGTCCGCCGCAGTGAGGACGGCACAGGACAGGGCCGGTTCAGGTCTGTTGCTCACACTGTCCCTGTAAGTTGCTAACACCACCAACAGGCTAGGAGATCGTAACGTGAGCGGTCAGCCCACCTTCCTCGCTTGGAGCCACTGGTGGGGACACGAGGCCTTCTGCTGAGCAGCGCAGCCGGCCATGGCCTGTGCCACCAGCGTCCCGAACAGCAAGGCCACTCTCTCGCTCTCACTGCTGTGGAGTCGGAACCGACACACAGCCGACCCGCCACTTGATCCAGGGCTGTAAATCACTCCCTCCGAGTGGCTGGTGGATTTGAACCACCAAACACGCGTGGCCTGTGGGTGAGCGGCAGAACAGCCTGCAGACCAGGCCTCCAGAGCTCTGTCCACTGAGGAAGTCGAAGAAAAGTCATGAACTGGGGACGAGATGCACATCAAATGGGGAGAAGGAAAGAACACCATTCAAAAACACCGATCAGCATGTGAACGGTTTCATGGAAAACTACTTTGTAAACTTTCATTCAATTAACAGTATTAAAGAAAAAAAGAGGTCTACACAGAACCAGTTAGAAAGGGAGGGTAAGTGAAGGAGCTCTGCTGGCACACCTGGTTAAGTGTTCGACTGAGAGCTGACGGACTGAGGGTTCAAACTCACCCGGTGGCTCCACGGAAGACGGAAGACAGACCTGCTGACCTGCTTCAGCCGTGAACACTCAGTGGGGCAGTTCTACTGTCACATGGGATCACTCTGAGTCACCGTGAGTCAGGACATCAGTGATAACTGCTTCAGGAGATGTTCGGTGGGGGCAAAGGTGGTAGCAGGCCCTGGGGGAAGCACAGTGAGCAGACTTCCATTTAAGGCTAGCACCTGAGGCAGGGGGTCAGCAAGCCTGCACACCGAGTCACAGGGACAGCTGTGCGGCCTTGGGCACTTATTAACCTCTCTGTATCTCCCATTTCCTTATCTGTGACATAAAATTGTCTGGTAAGAGCTCCTGGCCTGCAATCAATGCTAGGCATTGAAGGACAAAGTCCAAGCCACACTGAAGGCACTGGCAAAACCTAAGGCCCTGAGAAAGGAGGTGTTTCAAAACACAGATAAAACAGATGTAGGCCTGAAAACTGCTTTATGCCAAGTAATTTAGAAGCGTTACCTAGCCAATTGACTGGAAGAGATCTGTATTTGTTTTATTTCAGAGAAAAAATAATATCTAATAGAGTGAGGAAATAATCGTATAGTATCACGAATAATTCTTAATATCAAGATAACAATTCCCTCACTCTGATGGATCATTTTTGGGTAGAATATTAGGTTATCCAGGAAGCATTAAAAGAAGATGGAAAGAGTCACTGTACCAAAAGGAATTGGTGGACACAGAAGAATTTCATGAAACAATGTCTGATCAAGAGCCTGTGGTGATGAAGGAAGTTCAAGCTGCTCTGAAAGAATTGGCAAAAAACAAAGCCCCAGGAATTGATGGCATACCAACTGACATATTTCAACAAACAGATGCTGCCCTGGATTTGCTCAGAAAGCTGTGCCAAGAAATCTGGAGGACAGCCACCTGGCCAACCGACTGGAAGAGAACTTTATTTGTTCCCATTCCAAATAAAGGTGATCCAACAGCATGTGGAAATTAGCGAACAGTATCACTGATATCACATACAAGCAAGATTTTGCTGAAGATTATCCAAAAATGACTGGAACAGCACATCAACAGAGAACTGCCTAAAAGGCAGGCTGGATTTAGAAGAGGCCGTGGCACTAGGAATATAATAGCTAATGTCTGATGGATCTTGGCTAAAAGCAGAGATTACCAGAGGACTGTCTATCTGTGTTTCATTGACTATGCAAAGGCATTTGACTGTGCGGATTACAACAAACTGTGGCTGACTCTGAGAAGTAAAGAAATCCCAGAACACTTGATTGTGTTTATGCAAAACCTGTACTTGGACCAGGAGGCAATCATCAGAACAGAGCAAGGAAATACTGCATGATTCAAATTGGGGAGGGTGTGGGTCAAGAATGTGTCCTACCTCCGTATCTTTTCAATCTATATGCAGAACAGATTATCCAGGAGACTGGGCTCTATGAGGAGAAGTGTGGCATCAGGACTGGAGGTAGACTCATCAACAATCTGCATTATGCAGAGGACACAACCCTGCTTGCTGAAACTGAGGACATGAAGTGCTTGATGCAGGTCAAGGACTGCAGCCTTCAATATGGACTGAAGCTCAATACCAAGAAAACAAAGACTCTCACCACTGGGCCGACTGGCAGCATCATGATGGATGATGAAGAGCCTGAGATTGTTGACAGCTTCCGTTCACTTGGCTCTACAATCAACACCCTTGGTACCAGCAGCCAGGAAATTAAAAGACTAATTGCTTTGGGTAAGTGTGCTGGCAGAGACCTCTCCAAAGTACTGAAGAGTAACAATGTCAGTATGGAGACTAAGGTGTGCCTGATAATGGCCATGGTCTTTGCAATTATTTGCTATGCATCAGAGAGCTAGACAATGACCAGAGATGACAGAAGGAGAGTTGACACCTTTGAGCTGTGGTGCTGGAGAAGAGTATTGACTATACCATGGACTGCTAGAAGAACAAACAGGTTTGGCCTGGAGAGGGTGAAGCAAGCCTCTTCCTTGAAGGCAAGGATTCTGAAGCTCTGTCTGACATACTCTGGACATGTTGCAAGACAGGATCAGTCCTTGGAGAGGGACGCCATGCTTGGTAGGGTGGAGGGACAGTGCAGGAGGAGAAGACCCTCTTTGAGATGGATTCAGTCAGTCACTGAGGCAATGGGGATAGGTGCGTCATAGGCAATAAGATTGGCAAGGGATAGAGCAGCATTTAGGGCTGTTATACATAGGGTTGCTATGAGTCGCAGGCAACTCAACAACACATAACAACAACATCATCAATAATCACACACAAGTAAAATCTTGCTAAAGATTATTTTTAAAATGGCTGGAACAGCACACTGACAGGGAACTATCAGAAAATCAAGCTGGAGTCAGGCTGTGGAATGAGAGATATCACTGCTACTGTCAAATGGACCTTGGCTAAAAGCAGGGAATATTAGAAAGATGCT